TGGTAAACAGCTGCCCTGGACACAAGTGTCATAGCTCCTCTGCTGCAAAAAACTGCAAAATCACTACAGGAGATCATGTGGCCCGTACTGGGCCCCGATGGAGCAGGTGGTTCCGCTAAATTGCGCACCACCTGAAAGTGTCTCCTGCTGCTGTTTTCTGCAGATGCAATAAAGGCGTGGTCTTCTTCATCGTCACTATTGCCACTTGGAAGGCTTGACATTGAGCTCTAGCCCATATGCGGTCAGATGCAGAATGAGTCATCCACCACCAGCACTCTAGCCATCTCAGTGATTGTTTCATTGCCCTTAGACCGGTGGAAAACCATGGAGCTGCCCAGGCTCCATGCAATCGGAGATGGCGCATCAGAGCCAAACAGTCAATAGCCCTGGTTAACTCCACATTACAGTGGGCCACCAGGGAATCAGCTAAAAGGCCATCAACATGGGATAAAGCATCCCCTACCACTCTCTGGAAACCATTTAGATCCATTAAGTGGCGGGGGCGGACCATCCAAATCGGTCCCACCCCCCTGCAGAGGGGAAGGGTCACGGAGAAGTCCAGTTGCACAGGAAGTGATCTGACTATGGCACTTCTTTCGTTTCGCTTTTATTAGTGTCAGATCACCAACATCCATAGAGGTCAAAGGCTATGAGCTGGGCCAGGCTAATTCAGGGGCAGTCCTATGGAGGCCATAGTTTCCACAAAGTCCCGAGAGGTCCCTTGCAAGGTCGTGTTGGCGTGAATGTTAAAATCCCCTAGGACAACCAAACTAGGTGTCTCCAAGAGAACATTCACCACAAACTGAAGCAGCTTGGGCAGGGAATCCTTGGTGCAGCGGGGAGGTCAGGACACCAAAAGGAATCCTGTACTGCCCCTATTGCCCAGCTTCTAGAACATGCACTCAGAGAACTGGGTCTTCCCAATAGGACGCCTGGTGCAGACTAATGACTTCCTAAAAATCACTGCAACCCCCTCCCTCCCCGCCCACATGACCTGGGTTGCTGTGCGTAAGAGAAGCCAGGTGGACAAGCAGCGGCAAGGACAGGCCCATATGCTTCATCCAACCATGTCTCTGTCACACATGCTAGGTCCAGTCCTCCATCCACGATCAAGTCATGGATGGCAGTGGTCTTACGAATCATTGATCTGGCATTGCACAGCAGAACCTTCAGGTTATGTGGGTATCCATTGCTGATTCCAGTATCCGTCCGGTCAAGACCAGACCCGGAGTCAGGGATAGTCCTCAAACAACGACTAAACCTGCCTCCTCGGTAATGACATGGTCTGGTCTTAGCGTCTCTCCTCCTCCTACCCGTGATCACTGAGATCAGTTGTCCCAGTGCATCCCTCCCTGTGGAACATGCCCCAGGCATTTTGTTTTCTGGGACCCACTCCCAGGCAGCCCTGACGTCCTCCCCTTCAGAACAAAATAAAACCTATTTTTTAAAAAGCAATAAAACAATAAAAACCAAAAACAGTAAAAGTTACAAACATACCAAAATTGACCAATTTCCAAACACGACTAAACGTCCATCCCCACGCCAGAAATAATTTTAAAGGTAAAAAATAAAAATTTAAAATATTTTAAAATAACTCTGTGCTGTTCTGAGTTCTCCTGGGGAGAGACAGCAGCAGCCTCAGCTGTCCTTATGAGGCCTGCCCGCCCTGCCCTGGCCAGGTGGTGAGTGGCAGGAACGGGACCCCCAGGCAGGGGAGTCCTCCTGGGCAGTTGATTACACGCATTGGGTATCTTACATAACCAAACAAGGATAAACTTGGTTCAGAAATAGATATTGGTAGCGATCTACTGCTTAGTTACAGCATATACAAAGAAGCTCTTCTGCAATAATTTTTATAGCGTCCCTCTAAATATTCTGAGCACATAGTCTGAAAACAAAAGTCAGAAATGCTTGCCTAAATGAACAGATTGGTAAATCAGAGGGGAAATTCTCAAGTTCATGTCTTATTTTAATTAAATACCAATGTGGGGCAGTGTTCAAAATTAGCCAGGCGCCAGACACATTTTGCACCTGGCTATTGGCAACTTATCATTAGACAGCTGTTGCAACTGAAGCTCTTTCCACACCCCAAAAATGTATGTGTTTGTCCCCTGTACGAGTTATTTCATGCACAGTAAAGAAACTATAACTGAAGCTCTTTCCACACATCAACTTTCATAGGTTAGTCCCCTGAATGAGTTCTCTGGTGTCGAGAAAGGTGGTTACTGCGGCGGTAGCTCTTTCCACACTCCAAACATTTGTATGGTTTGTCCTGTGTGAATTCTCTTATGTGCATGAAGGATGTTAGAGTCACTGAAGCTTTTTCTACATTTCAAAATTTATACGGTTTCTCCCCTGTATGAGTTTGTTGATGCACATTAAATGCAGCTGACTGAAGCTCTTTCCACACTCCAGGCATTTATATGGTTTTTCCCGTGTGAGTTCTTTCATGTTTAGTAAGGTAGCCACTGCAGCTGAAGCTCTTTCCACACTCCAGGCATTTATATGGTTTCCCCCTGTATGAGTTTTTGATGTCTAATAAGGTTGCTCTGTACTGAAGCTCTTTCCACACTCCAGGCATTTATATGGTTTTTCCCCTGTATGAGTTATTTGATGCACATTAAGGGAGGAACTCTGACTGAAGCTCTTTCCACACTCCAGGCATTTATACGGTTTCTCCCCTGTATGAGTTCGTCGATGCACATTAAGGTGGCCACTGTTTCTGAATCTCTTTCCACACTCCAGGCATTTATAAGGATTTATATGGTTTTCCTGTGTGTGAATTATATGATGCATTTTAACAGACTTGCTGCGACTGAAGCTCTTTCCACACTCCATGCATTTATAAGGTTTCTCCCTTGTGTGAGTTCTTTGATGTTTAGTAAAGGTACTATAGTCACTGAAGCTCTTTCCACACTCCATGCATTTATAAGGTTTTTCACCTGTATGAATTCGTCGATGCACATTAAGGGAGGCACTCTGATTGAAGCTCTTTCCACACTCCATGCATGTATATGGTTTTTCCCCTGTGTGAGTTCTTTGATGTTTAGTAAGGGTACTACTGTCAAAGAAACTCTTTCCACATTCCCAGCATTTATAAGGTTTCTCCCCTGTATGAGTTCTTTGATGCAAAGTAAGGTAGCCACTGGATCTGAAGCTCTTTCCACACTCCATGCATTCATAAGGCTTCTCCCCTGTATGAGTTATCTGATGCACATTAAGGTGGCCACTGTTTCTGAATCTCTTTCCACACTCCAGGCATTTATAAGGTTTTTCACCTGAGTGTACGCTTTGATGTCTAGCAAGGGCTGAGCGACTACAGAATCTCTTTCCGCACACAGTACATTCATGTTTTTTCTCCACCCTGTTAATCTGATTTTCATCTTCTTGGGAAACACTGTGTTCATCCCTTGGCTTCACTGTTTCTCTCCCCTCTTGTTTGTTGGCTCCATCTTGAACCCCCAACTTCCTTTCCTTCTCTTGCTCCTCAGCTCTTTCTGGCCAGACGTCTGATGGCTCCTCCTCATCCAGGACCCCCCAAACATCTCCTGATGGAATACATTTTTTAAAATAAAGGTTAATACAGCTGTTTCATTATCGAAACTCAAGGCCTGGCACTGTGTTAAAGGCGTTTTACATAAAAATTAATGGTGTGATACCTGGCTTTAATAAAATATCACCATTTAATGAAGGGTTATTTGTATCAGAAAAGTTCTGGTGAGCAGCCCCTAAGATTAACCAAGCCATAAATAACACAATTTAAACCAGCAGGCAATAACATCAACAGAGCCTGCCTGCCTCTGGGCCTGTGTGAGGCGGCTGCCTCAGGTGTCACCCCAAAGGGGCGTCAGTGCTCAGCTTTGCTGCTAGTCTCCCCGGCCTCTGAACTTTGTCAGGATCTGAAAAGGCTCTTTGCCAGTGGGTTGTCACAGCTAAAAATTGGCCGCTGTTTCTTTAATGCTTAAAAAGCTGGGTCAGCATGAGTCAGCGGCCTGCACCGGGTTGTATATATGGAGTGAGAAATGTTAATTTGTGGTTAGGTTTGGTTGGTTGGTTAGTGAAAGCTGGTAGTGTTGAGGTGTGTACAGTTGGTCAACCCCTTTTGCAGAAAGACTTGTAAGAATAAAAGCAGAAAGTACTCTGCAAGGATACTTTTCTCGTGGACTGTTTTATGCCAACAAGAGTCCGAGGAACAGGCTGAGGCGACAAAGGGAAGTCAGAACTTTTTTATATATACAACACTGACATGGATGGGGGGGAGGCGTCTGCACCCCTTGGAGGTCTGGTGGGGTGGGGGAACCACCCCACCCAACTTGCAGGGGTACGTTCCTTATGGATTTTGAGCCCCCATTGTGGGGGCAGAAGTGAGGCCACCCCTGAGCATTGATAATGCAGCACTGCAACTCAGAGCAGCTTGAAAAGCCTAGATCTGCAGAGCTTGTTGAAAAACCACAAATGAATAATAACAATAGTAGCATTTATTTTATTTATATCCCAACCGTCTTGGACTGGGTTTCCCAAGCCTCTCTGGGTGGGCTTGCAGCATATAATAAAAATGCAATCAAACCTCAAATATTAAAAAACAGAACTATTCTATATAATGCAACAAACAAACCAGTACACCAATAGAAACCAATAAACAAGATAATCCAGGTATTCTACCAAATTTTTAGGGTCCACCCACATAGAAGATTTTTAGTATGCTTTTTCCTACCAATTCTCCATGCATAGATTTGCCACTAATGCATTATACTTCCAAGGCTGCTTTTGAGAAGACGCGTGTCAGAAACTACATAGTGCTGGAGCATATCTTGGGTTCCTGTCTTCAAGTCAAGGTGCTGATTTGACTTAATGTAGCTCAAATGTGCTGCTCTCATGAATCCACCTAGAGAGCCTGCACTCATCTCGTCTGAGGTCCTTCTCACAGTGCCCTCTCCAGCTGAGGGGCAAAGAGAGGCAATACGGAATGCGTCTTTCAGTGCTGGCTCCCACCTAAAGAATGCTCTCCCCCAGGGAGGCAACCCAGAAGCCATCACTGGTATTGTAGCAGAGAAGCAAGAATGTTTACTCTCAGCCAGGCTTCTGGCCTTTAACGTTGGGAGAAAAACAAACACGGTGACCTCTTTAGCGGGCTGAAGGAGGCACTCCGAGCCCCTGAGGAACCCATACCTATTATAACTATTAATGAAGGCGAAAGGATCCTTACGCTGAGAGGCACCATCTCATGAACCTCCACCATGACGTCCTTGTACAGAGCTCTCCGCGGGCCCAGTTGTCGTCAGCGAAATGCAAGGACACCTGTCCAAAGCTCACTAATCCTGGAAGGACAGAACAATTCCCTTCCTTTATAGACACTCCAAGCAAGGTGTGGAAACCATCTCCCTCAGCTCCCCCTCCGATGATAGATGGGCAACTGGAGATTTTACCTTCAGTGTTTTATTTGTTTTTTTAATAAGATGTTAAAATCTGGATAACTAAATTTAAGACTGGGGGAAATGAGTGTTTTGTCCCACCCCATACTCCTCCCTTCCTCAAGTGTGTAAAGACCATACATGCTGCCGCAAGAGGCAAAATGGGAAGTGGAGAGGGATAGATTTTTGAAGCAGAGCGCCCTGCACGCCAGACAGACATCCGCAGCGTGGGGAGCCGTGCCGGAGTCCCCGCAGGGCTCCCCACGCTGCGGATAGCAGCCTGCCGCCCGGTGGGCGGGGCGCCCTGAAGCAAACTGCCCCTCGCGCCGAGCAGACATCGGCCAGCCCCGCAAGCTTGAGGGACAGCAGGGAGGCGCAGCGCCGCCATCCGCTGTTCCTCGACCTGGTTCAGTTTCCCCGACCTGCTTTGGGGGGGGGGGGAATAAAGGAATAATTTTTTTCCTTTATTCCCCCCCAAAAAAACTACGTGCGTCCTATGGGACGGAGCGTCCTATGGGACGAAAAATACGGTACCTGAAGAAGCATCTCCATCCCCCATCGTTCAGCCGGACACTGAGATCCCTTGCTGCAAGAAGCCAAATTACAGGGAAACAGGTAGAGGGCCTTCTCGGTAGTGGCACCTGTCCTGTGGAATGCCCTCCCACCATATGTCAAAGAAAAAACAACTTCCAGACTTATAGAAACATCTGAAGACAGCCCTGTTGAGGGAAAGCTTTTAATGTTTCATCTTTTATTGTGCTTTAATTTTCTGTTGGGAGCCACCCAGAGTGGCTGGGGAAACCCAGCTAAATGGCGGTGTATGAATGAATAAAATAATAATAATTATTCCTCCTGCTCCTCCCTGGCTGGCAGGAGACTCTCCTGACTCCCTGTTTACTCCCTGCCATTCCTCCCCATTCCCTGCCCTGCGGCCTTTGCTGGGCGCTCCTTCTGCTTTCTCTGGACAGAGGAGCGGGAGGAAAAGGCCGCAGGGATGAGGCCAGAGGCCGGTCAAGGCCAGCGAGGAGCGTCGCTTCGGCCTCCCGCTTCCCCTCCCAGGAGAGGACGACCTTTCCCCGTCGCCCTTAGTTCCCCCAGGAGGGACGCGGCTCCCTCCCTCTCGCCCCCAATTCCGCCCCTGACTCGGCCCACTCCCCCCAGTTACCCGCCTCCAGGGAGGACAGCATCAATCCGGGGAAGCGGAACAGGAAGCGGAAGCGCCTCCTCTCTCGCCAGTCTTCCCTTCCTCTCTAGGAATCGAAGCTCTGTCGCCGCTGTTAACCCTTGCCGTGCCGCGGGGTAGGAGCCTCTTGGCTGCTCCGGGCAGAGAGGGAGGAGGAGCGCCCGGCTGGTCTCTGGCTCTGAAGCAGGAAGGGGAAACCCGGCTGCAGGATCAGGCCAGCGATGCCCCCAGTTGCTCCAAGCAGGATCTGAGTACAAAAGCAGCTTTGTCCTCACCTTTAATATTATATTATGTTATATATTGTATATAAATATACTGTATTGTATTGTGTATGCCCCTGTAATCTCACTGTATAAAAGTTGTACAAGTGACAATAATGTGTTTCAATTTCAATATTTATTTATATCCCGCCTTTCTCCCAGACCAAGAGACAAGGCGGCTTACAAAGGGGTTGCCATAGTTATAAATTCTAAAAGGCAGGCGGCATTAAGAGGCAAGGAACTGCAATTGTTTCAAAGATCCTGGTTGAAATCAGAATTAGAAAAAATTAAAGATGCACTTTTTTGTGAAATCAGCTGAGAAGAGAGGTCCAGCGGCTGTAAAAAGATGAGTGCTTTAAATATTTTCAAATGACATAATACCTGACAGTATCTCGAATTAGGATTGGCTATTTCAGATCCAACTGAGTCCTTTCCAAGTGTGCCTCTAAAATGGTGCATGCACACAGGGAAACAAACCTCCACGAGGGACCTTGGTTTCCCGGCTTAGAATAGCACACATGATGTGGAAATTCATGAAGGAGGTCCTGACCCGAGATCTAAGTAAAACTAGGTAACGGAATAAAAAAAATATGTATTGTGCACACAGGTAGGGCTCATGTCACACTATTTTCCCCCAATGCACAAAAATATTGAATCATAGAGTTGGAAGAGACCACAAGGGCCATCGAGTCCACCCCCTGCCAAGCAGGAAACACCATCAGAGCACTCTTGACATATGGTTGTCAAGCCTCTGCTTAAAGACCTCCAAAGTAGGAGACTCCACCACACTCCTTGGCAGCAAATTCCACTGTCAAACAGCTCTTACTGTCAGGAAGTTCTTCCCTAATGTTTAGGTGGAAACTTCTTTCTTGTAGTTTGGATCCATTGCTCCGTGTCCGCTTCTCTGGAGCAGCAGGGACTGGCCACTGAGACCACATAACACTGGTCCTGAAAGACCTACATTGGCCCCCACTACATTTCCATGCACAATTAAAAGTGTTGGTGCTGACATTTAAAGCCCTAAATGGTCTCGGCCCACTATACCTGAAGGAGCGTCTCCACCCATTGCTCAGTCCTGACACTGAGGCCCAGCTCCAAGGGCCTTCTGGTGGTTCCCTCCCTGCGAGAAGTGAGGTTACAGGGAACCAGGCAGAGGGCCTTCTTGGTAGTGGCACCCGCCCTGCGGAAAGCCCTCCCATCAGATGTCAAGGAAATAAACAACTATCTGACTTTCAGAAGACACCTGAAGGCAGCAAAGTTTAAGGACGTTTTTAACATTTGATGTTTTATTGTGTTTTTAATACTCTGTTGGGAGCCGCCCAGATTGGCTGGGGAGGCCCAGCCAGATGGGAGGTGTATAAATTATTATTATTATTATTGATACACAAGTGTCATAGCTCCTCTGCTGTAAAAGCCTAGAAGCTGTACATGTTTATTGTTGACTGAACCATTATGGTCATATGCAATATATACATAAATACAGTGGTACCTCGGGTTACAGACGCTTCAGGTTACAGACTCCGCTAACCCAGAAATAGTACCTCGGGTTAAGAACTTTGCTTCAGGATGAGAACAGAAATCGCGTAGCAGCGGTGCGGTGGTAGAGGAAGGCCCCATTAGCTTAAGTGGTGCTTCAGGTTAAGAACAGTTTCAGGTTAAGAACAGACCCCAAGAACAAATTAAGTTTTTAACCC